CAGCTCCATTGTGTTGGGAACTGCTGGGAATCAGTGCACAACAGCATTACCTTCGCTTGGCTTCCCATCTCTGCTTTTCTCCCTCGACTTCTCCGTGCCCCCGCCTGCCCGGCTCTCCGTCTTCCTCTGTAACCAGGACAGAGACAGAGAAGTCAGGCTCGGGGACCCCGAGGGGTGGCTGCTCGTCTGCTCGGGAGCTCCCTGTTGACTGCAGATGCTAAAATGTGAAGCTGAGATGAACGTCTGCAACCTTGTGGTGCCAAACACACACGTGTGAGCTTTTCAGACACAGCTCGGTGCACGGGCCACCTTCCCTGCTACGGGAGGCCTCACCCGGTGCGGCCACTGCCTGCCGCCTGGACGGCGAGCTCACACTGGCTGCAGTGCACACAGCCCCGTGGACTGGCCGTGGCGACTGTGGAGTCCACATCCCTTTCACCTCCTTTCGGGTTTGTCCCACTGGGCGGCCGGGGCTGGGACTTGGAGGCTCAAGGCCTCCGTTGAGATGACGTGTGGATGGCCCCGGAGAGTCAGGCTCTGTAGCTCTCCTGCAGGGGGTCTGGGCAGGGGGGCACCTCTTCTTACATCCGTCCTCTGTATCATCTGCTCTTAGCTTCTGGAGTTTCAGCACCTACCTGTGACCTGCTAGAGAATCTAACTAGAGCAGTGATGGCAAACCTTTTGAGCTCGGCGTGTCAGCATTTTGAAAAACCCTAACTAAACTCTGGTGCCGTGTCACATATAGAAATTTTTTGATATTTGCAACCATAGTAAAACAAAGACTTATATTTTTGATATTTATTTTATATATTTAAATGCCATTTAACAAAGAAAAATCAACCAAAAACATGAGTTTGCGTGTCACCTCTGACACGCGTGTCATGGTTCGCCATCACTGAACTAGAGAGATGGAGATGGCCGGTCTGTGGGCTGGGAGGTACTTGTTGAGCACCTACTATACGTCCAGCATTGCACCAAGGAGGCTGAGAGAGACAAGAGCAACACAGGACGAGCCTCAGCCGGGCGTGGCGGGAGTTTCCAGTGGCAGAGGCAGGTGGAGGCACCGTGATGGGGAGGCCCTGGCTGAGGTGAGCAGTGAAGAAGACATGGTGCAGAGCCAGGCGGGGGGCACTGCCAGGTGGGGGGCACTGCCAGGTGGGGGGCACTGCCAGGCTGGGATGGGGTGAGGTCAGCCACAGCCACATGGGGCCAAAGTATGAAGCAGCAGGGAGACTGCTCCAGCTGCACTGGGGCCCCCGGAGAGAGGGGAGGCCACACCTGGGGTGGCTGGAGGTCAGGTGAGAAGGTCACTGGGTGGTCCCAAGAGGCAGGGGGCCCTGACACAGAGATGTGCACACCCCGGGGTCCTGACTTGGCCAGACTAAGTTGGGGGGCTTCGGGGGAAACCTCAACCCCAGCTCTGAGCCTGTGAACTGGACCTCCCCTGAAAACTATCAATCCCCAAGCGCCCTAAAGCCAGGCCCGGTCTGTCTCCCTGACCCCTGGGAGAGGCTGCCCTGTGGGCGAGTCTGTGGCCTAGAGCCAGGGTGGGACATGGTGGCGGCTTTTCCCAGGCCAGGGGGAGCCTCTCAGTGAACAAGGTCAGCGCAGGGGCAGGGGGAGGAGAGGGAGGACGTGGGCCGGGTGCTGCTGGGGGAGGGAGATGCCGTGGACGCTGACCCTCGTCACCTCACAGCGGGCAGCACTGTCATGTGACCTCCAACCACGTTAGATCCCCTGATGTGGTCGGCCTGTCTCTCCTTTGGGTGGGAACGAGCGCCCGTCCAGAGGGGCCGCCTCGC